TGACCAAGCATATAATATTGTTGAACAGAACAAATAAAGAGAAATGTGATCAAGCAGATAATAAGAAATTATAATACATTATAATGAAATAAATAAAATATAATTGAACGAGTATATATTATTTTAAGAGAAAAGACATACAGACACCATCAAAGTTGTTCCGTATTTGCATAAAGACACCTTAACTTTTAAAGTGTCCTATTACCCCACAGAACTAATCAATTTCTTTGTAAATGGGCCATTTTGACCCATTTTCTTGTCTATGTAGTGGCGCGTGTTGCTCAACTCCCTATGATCTAATTCAACCCGACCCGACCCTATTCTTTAAAGAGAAGTCATCGTCTCCATTTCTTTTCTTCTCTGTTTGGTTGCACCTTCAAGAAATTTTCGTTAATTTTTCTTCATTCGGATTTTTTTTTATTCAGCTATGGAGTTAGGTGACAACAAAATTTTGAATGTGGGATTGCTATTAGTTGCAACCCTTTTGGTAGCAAACTCAGACCTAAATAACTCACACATTTATGCTAACTCAGAACAAAACCTATGTGTAACACTTTCTCCATTAACCATTAACCATTTTCTTGTTCATCATGTTCCATTGGCCAACTTGTGGAAGGCAATCTTTTTCTCAGCCATTATAGCCAGTTGTGATGCTTAGACAGGAGCATCCATAGCTTGGAAGTGTTTACTTTGAATATATTGAACAAGAAAATCACATTCATCATTGATCCAGAAGTTCCTCGCCAATAGTGGTGTCTTATTTTCTTAGAGAAGATGATGAAGTGGTCAAACAAAGAGTATCAACGTTGATTTTGCTATCAAAAAACTATGAAATTGAAAAATTAGGGCTAACAATGATTATTTTGGGTTTAAATTTGGGGAAGATGACATAAATTGATAAAATAATTAATAATAAAGAAAAATAATGACACATGGCACCTTTAAACTGGTCCATGGCAGTAAAAATAATGCATGACGCGCCTCATGTGCGTGGTAATAACTCAGATTAGGAAATGGGTCAAAATGGTCCATTTACAAAGAAATTAAATAGTTCTGTGGGGTGATAGGACACTTTAAAAGTTATGGTGTCTTAATGCAAATACATGACAACTTTGATGGTGTCTTTATGTCTTTTTTCTTATTTTAATAAATGAAGAAGTCCATATAATATTATATAGTTTTTGTATAACACTTTAAAAATATAAAAGTATGTATAAATACCTTTTAGATACTAATATATATTTTAACAAGATTAATGTATGCATGATGTATTATAATATTATATCATATTATAAAAATAAATAATTTCTATCTTCAAAACTAAGTTAAGATCTAAGCTTGTTTACAAGGCTGACTCATATATATTGAATCGAATCGAATCGATGTCAGGCAGAACACTAAATTGTGAAGGAAATTAGGCCAGGATTTCGACCCATCGGCTGAGTTGGATTAGCATTTTTTGATTTATTAATTATTAATTTGTAAATTTGAGTCAATTATTAATATAGTATATTGTTATCTATAAATTGATTACATTTTATTATTTAGATAAATATACTTATAATACAACTAAAAAATCCACACAATATATTATTCTATATGATAAACAGTTAAATTACAATATATATATATATATATATATATATATATATATATTATTTACAACTAAACTATACTTATAATGAATACCAAATATACACAATATATGTATCTATTATAAAAGAATACTTATATTACATTGTATAACTAGGACGAAGGGAGTGATCTATACTACTTGAAATTATATTTAAAATACCATAAATCATAATAATTAACAATTTACGATATTTTAATATTTTACTTTTTAAATAGTACTAAAAAATAAACTAAAGCTATTACAAATTTGGTTAATTCTTGAAATTTCACGCATACAGTATAACTGGGACGAAGGGAGTAACATATATTATTTGAAACTACATTAAAAATATCATATATCATACTCCCTCCGTTTCAAAAAGAATGATCTTCTTTCCTTTTTAGTTTGTTTAAAAAAGAAACATTTTAATTTCAGTTTTCCACATGACATGTTTAAAGCCACAAGATTGAAAGGCAATTTAGTAAATTTGAGATAATTTTAATTTAGGATCACAATATTCAGAAGTCTTCTTTATTTTTTAAAACTTTGTGCTAAGTCAAATCAGGTCACTCTGTGAAACGGAAAGAGTAAAAATTAACAACTTACAATATTAAAAAAACATATTAACTCTTAAAATTTCACATATACCACATAAATTAAAACAGATATAATAACATATATATATTATTTGAAAATTACTCTAGAAATACTATTAATCACATAAACTAAGTTTCTTGTTATCAAAAAGTTGGTCCACCTACTTACAAATGCATTATAAATTTGTGTTGTTGGCTGGGCAATTGACCAGTTTGCCCTTAATATTTTATTTTTTAAAATTTATTTTTATTTTAATATTTTCCTTTTTAAATAGTACTAAACATAAATTTAAAATATTAAAAATTTGGTAAACGCACGAAATTTCACGCATATTGTATGATTGAAACGAAGGGAGTAACATATATTATTTGAAAATTACAGTAAAAATGTCATAAATCATAATAATTAACAATTTATAATATTTGAAAACATATTAACTCTCAAAATTTCACATTTACCAAGTTATGAGTTATATATCTTGAAACTTATGAACATGAGCCTTCAGGATAATTTATGTTCACATGAACATAAATGAGTTACATGTCAAACCGAGAAGGGATGAGTCTAAATGATAAATATGTAACGTATGTCTCATATTCGTCTGGATATGAGATGGTTTAGCTAATTAGGTCGAGATTAGCCTTTATGCTCTCACATCACGATTCACATCAATTATACCATTAGACTCTCCCAATAAATTAGAATAGACAAAAGTATTCATTACCTCCCTAAACTTGAAACTTTTTATTCAGTGTACACCTAAACTTTATTTTGTTTCAATTATCCTCTGAACTTGCTTATTCATCCAACACGTACACTTTTTCTGTCCAACTGCATAGAAACTGAAATCAAACTCTACAAGGCGCGTGATATAGCGATTTTTTGCCACATCAATAAAGTTACAATGGTAATATACGTAAAAAAAAATCTATTTTTTCTTTAATATTTAGCTTATTTTAAGAATTTTTCTCTCTCTATTCTCTACCTATTTATTCTTCTTTATCTCTTCTCCCTTTTCAAATTTCAGATTTTTCTCAAGGGCTTCAGGAATCCTCTTCTTGAAACACAATCCATCAATAATACAATTACAAATTGCAACATCCGGCTTACACCCTTTTTCCCACATTGTCTGGAACAACTCTACCGCCCTGCTTCTTTTCCCTGATTTACATAATGAATTGATGAATATCCCATATTTAAATTTATCCGGCTTACATTTTGAAGTCATAATATCATTCCAAAACCTCTTCGCCTCTCATGAATACCCCAAAACACACCATCCATTCAAAATAATATTCCGAGTTTTAATGTTATCCTTAAACTCAATTATCTTATTATAGAACAAGAATTCAGCATCTTCAACATGTTTGTATCGGCATAAACACACATAAGAAGGATTTGAAAAGCATTAAGATCAATATCCAAACCAAAATTTTTCCTCTTATAGAAAAACTCTTTTGCATCTTCAACTCTGTGAGCTGCAGCAGATCTATTAATCACAAAACCATAAGTTTTTTCACTAACCAAATTTCCTCTCTTAGACATTTCGTCGAGCACTTGGTTGAGTTCATCAAAATGTCTCATACGACCAAGAATATCGAGAATTTCATTGAAAGATTCAGTATTTGGTGAATACCTACATGGATTTTCACCTGCTAATATCCATTTGAAAAAGATAAAAGTTGGTTTCCAATCAGAACGGTGTCGTTTAAGCACGTTTAGAATGAAATCTTCAGATAATGTGAAATTGCAATTACTTAGAGATTGAAAAATGTCACTCACTAGGTGGCAAAATATTTATCTAGGTGGCGTGCGCGTGTAGACACGATCGTAGTGAGTGGACAGAAAAGGTTTACGTGTTGGATGAATAAGCAAGTTTAGGGAGGTAATTGAAACAAAATAAAGTTTAAGTGTACACTGAATAAAAAGCTTCAAGTACGGGGGGGGGGGGGTAATGAATATTTTTGCCTATTAGAATATGATGAAAGACTTAATACTACGACAACTCTATTGGTTGTTTATATTTATCTTTGATATGTACATTCATACTATATTTAGCGATTTTACATATTGTACTATTTTATATGTACTTTTATCTTTTTTTGTCGGAAACACTATATTTTTATTTATGCAAACTCGAGTACAAAAACACATGATTAGACTATTATTGGGATCTATATTTTCTGTTAGTATCCCTCTCTGTTTTTAGAGGCTTAGTCCGCAGTTTTTAGTATTTTATGACTGTTTGCTCAAGGTATACTGAGAGGCCTATCCCAATAGACATTTCTCCATAATGTTTAGAGGCTTCATAGATATATAATTAGTTATGTTCAATTTTGGGCTTTCGCATCATTTTTCATAGATTTCAATATTATAACACATCTTTATTATAAGTATTTCTTTTACAAGGCTTATCTCTTCAAATACTTTTAAAAATTATGTTTTCGTTCATGTCTAGATGTATGCTCATATTTCATGCCATAGTATGAGTACGCTTGAACCAACAATGACATCAAATTTGGTCTTGCCTAGAGTCTAAGGCTCGGGGCGTGATCAATGACTATGTGTAGAACCTAGTTCAAGGCTAGAAGAGATTTTGGTGGTTCTTTCTATTGCTGAATAAAACGCTCATATGTCCCTTAGATGGGACAAAACACCAATTTGGTGGTAGCGATAGTTCCGCTTGTGGTCTTTTAAGCCATTGATTTAACATCGCCATTTTCTATTTTATTACGACTTCCAAAGGATATTACAAAATAAAAATAATTCTGGTTTGCACCAAATATTACTAGAAGGCAAAATAATAATGTCCAAACAAAAAAATTCTTGGATAAAACTTCAATTTGTGGCCGTTCTTTAATATTCCCAAAATGTAACAACAACAACTACTCTTCTATCGAAAGAAGATAGCACACTTAGCTCTTTGTCCAAGCAGAGCAACCAAAACAAAAAAAAAATAAAAAAATTCATCCAATTTCCCTAACTCTTTATCTTACCATGAATGACACAGTGGACAAGCTGGTAATTTTCTTAGCAAAGAGAGATGGAATCGACAAGCTTGTCAAGACTTTCCAGTACGTTTCCAAGCTCGTAAATTGGCACGTCGAGACGACGTACCCTGACTTAGCCACTCGAGCCAAGCAATGGGAAGTGGCTTCTGGCCTCAGCCGAAAAGCCTTCCGTACAGGTCGATCCCTCACGGGATTCAACGCTCTCCGAAGAAGCCCCGGGACCACCCCGGGTTTCAGACTGCTCGCAGTTCTCGCCAATTCAGGGGAAATGGTTTATTTCTTCTTCGACCATTTCCTCTGGCTGGCGAGAATTGGAGTAATCGATGGTAAATATGCGAAAAGGATGAGCTTCATTTCAGCATTTGGTGAGTCTGTTGGATACGTATTTTTCGTTATTTCAGATTTTATTCTCATCACAAGGGGATTAAAAGCAGAGAGGAAGTTATTGATTGAAGAGAAGGATTCTAAAGAAGAAATTAAGAAAATTAGAATGGATAGAATAATGAGACTGATGGGTGTGGCTGCTAATATTGCTGACCTTATAATAGCCTTAGCTGAAATTGAACCAAATCCATTCTGCAACCATACAGTTACTTTAGGCATTAGTGGTTTAGTTTCTGCATGGGCTGGTTGGTATAGAAACTGGCCCTCCAAAACATAAATAGGATCAAAATTTTCAACAAAGTTTATCATATCAATGTAACAAACTTCAGTTATTATATGATCAAACGTTGCAATTTACTATTCATGACTTCATATTCATTGCTTAAGATTATCAGATTTGTTTAAACCATCAATAAGAGTGGTCTATATTACACATCATCGTGAAAAATTGAAACTCTTTATCTGAAAATCATATATTATATACGAGTAAAATAATAAATAAAGTGTTAAATAATATTTTTTAGCCAACACAACAATTAATGTAACTTTATAGGTTTATGCGCCATAGAAAGTAAAATTACACGAAATTAATTTCGAAGCACATTCGTATGGATTTATTCACTTTGTTTTTGGCCTTTCTTGTTTATTTAAACATACAGAGGACCAACAGTCAAAAGAAATGTATAAGCTAAAAGTTTATGCATTCACTAACAAAAAATATGACATATTACACGGCTCTTTTTTAAAAAAAATAAAAAGAAATTATGCGTGGAAGAACATAAAGGCTCCTTACATAATTATTACCGAATAATTTTTCTCGAGATTTGGGAGGAGAAAAAAAGGCTTCCTTTTCCTAATTTAAGTATTTCCTAATTTGATATTATATAGGTAAAACAGAATTTCCAATTAACTTTTTTTCGTTTAGTTTCTTTTTTTTTACTTCCTACTTCAACTAGGACATAAAAAATCTAAGCGCTATAAATTAAGCCTCTTCAAATTGATATTATAATTATTCAAATCACTTTTCAATAGTAATCTTATAAAATAACTGAACATCTCTTATTCAAATATATATTTATCATCATGTCTTCTTCCAAACTAATAACAGATAGTATTAAATAAATAGTATTAAATAATATTAGTATTTACTGTGTACTAATCCTAGTCCTATTAGGATTAGTACTCCTTAATCCTAGTCTTATTAGGATTAGTACTCCTTCCTAATCTCCTATATATATCTCCCATGTATTCCATTATTAGGTTAACACTT